TTAATAAACAAATTACTTTAAAATTTCCATATAGTGGCGGTGTAAGAGTCTATTACGTGATATGATTCCGTAGGTGTCATAGAAGGCGACAGAGGCAAAAGAAACAGGAGATGGGCAGTAGCATCTTCCATAAGACAACAACTCAAAATAATAAATATAACCGCGGTTGCACACTCGCCTGCAAAACGTGGCAATTAAGGAAATTGTCCCCCCTATGACGCAATATTTTTGGGAAACCTATGTTCAGCAGTAGAATATAGGCTATAATTAATGAATGAACACTATTTTTTTTACTTATTATAAGCCAGTGCATGACTACCTTAGATGGTAAATCGCACTGTCTTAGCGTAACAAAAACCTATTCACTCTTGCCTTGCAGACGTCCAGAATGTATTCGGACGGAAAGATGGACGTCGGCAAATTATTCCACTCCTTTGCTGTACGCATTACCCAAGACGTTGCAAACTATTTGGTTCAACATGGTAAATTATTCTCAAGTATATATATATACTTACCTAGTTGAGTCTTTAGGATAATTAAAAAATTATATATTCATTCTATTATTGTTCATACAAACAAGTATATTAAACCATATTTACACTTTTTTATATTTTATTGAACACGAATAATTCTTTAAAAAAAAATTTATACTTATTATTTTTTACACGACCCTGAGTTTGAGCACTGGCCGAGCCGGTTTAAAGCAGTTTCTCTCTGTACGTGACGAGCAGCCAGTGCTCACGCACACACTCGCGTCTGGCCTGTAGTAGTGTACCTATCATAGCGCGGTTGTATGAAGCTTTGCCTCTGCACGGTACGGTTCCTTTACTCATGTGGCGAAATTGCAAGCAATAATTTGACAAAGTTTTACAAACGGTGTGGCATTGCATAAAATACGGACAAACAAATATTAATTTTGATATATTAGTTTATAGGTAATTATTTTATATAATTTCCGCATTATATTTGAAGTCGACCGTTGGTTTAGTGGTCGTAAACGTGGTTACTGATGATGAGAGATCCCGGGTTCATAATCTCGGGTATTGTCAAAATCAGATACTGAGTTTTACTGTCAAGAAATTCACAGTAGCAGCCCGGAGTTAGTAATTTGCGGGTGTTTCACCTCTTTGGTCCTGCGCCTGATCTCTCTTCGGTCGTGTTCAATTGCCGTTCCATCGGACTATGAGAGTGCACCTGTGCTTGCCCATACACTCGGGCACTATAATCCTGTCCTGCGCAGATGGCTGGTCTCCGTTCAGACTGGCCTCCGTGACCGAAATTCGTGACAGAAGTTTATACTTTTTCTAAGAAGTTTAATTTTCTGACCTTTTTGAGTGGTCTAAAGAATAAACAATCGCATGATAACTATTGATAACGAATGATGAATTAGTTATATAAAAAACTCATCATCTATTTTTCCAGTCAAAGGTGTAGAGTATTTTCTCCAAATTTATATATAATAGTACACATTTGAAGAAGATATCGCGTAACATAATATATTAAAAATACGTACAGTCGTAATAAAAACCTCCTGTTTTGAAGTCGGCTAAAAACAATGGAAATACGGCAAAATTCAAAATCATTTAAATAACATGATGCGAGTTAAACATAGTTTTTGTTTGTGCATTATTATGCTATGCAAGCATAATTGTTTTTATGTATTTTGTACGATGAAAGTGTTTCGCGTAATATACAAGTACATACTAAAAAAAGAACATGCAGTCGAATTGAAAACGTCTTTTTTGAAGCCCGCAAAATCATTTAGATAACATAATACGAGTTGAATATATTTTTTGTTATTCTATTATTATGCAAGCATAATTATATTTGATGTGTTTGAACGATTAAAGTGTAGAGTTCAACATCGGGAAACTTACTATTGTATAACTTCATTATTCATATATTATAGAGAAGAGCGCTCACCATTATGCGTTTTAAAAATTCTCGGTTGCTAATAAATAACGTTTACGTACTATGCCGGATGGGATGCGAGCATTTAAGTGTGTGAATGTATATTTTTAACCAACTAGTTGATTACAATAAACTTAATTATGATTTTTTTATATAACAACTTAAGATCCAAGAGCGATCTTCTTGTTTAAATTTTAGGTGGAGTAAATTTATGGAAGTAAGTTTTTTACTTATAAGGTTAAAAAACATCCTGAAGCAGTTATAAGGGGATATAGAATAAACATAAACATTCAGTTAATATAACGTTACCTTTCTTTGTTGTTTAATTTCTTCGTTTTTATTTTTTTAATGGTAATCAGCTAATCAGGATGTACTGTATTGTGGTTATAAACTATATTGCTTTTGTACTTAAAGTAGACGCTATCGAAGCGTTAGCTACACCAGCTGACGCTGATTGAAGAGATTGAACCCGCATTGGAAAATAAGTGTTTGATATACAATGGCGCATGTCGACATCGCTACTACAGCTTCGAATTCAAAGACTAATTGGACATTGTATCAATTTGAAATACAATGCTTGATGAGATAAAACCTTTGTATGGTTTTATAAATAAACTTTACGTTCTTTTGCATACATATGTGCAGATAATATAATAGTTCAGGAGGAATCGGCGTATACCGACAACTATTCCACCTCAATTTTTTATGCGATTCTCTTCAATGATGATATAAATGCAAGTTGCCATGAAGTAACTCGGTGCCAAATTTTTTAAATCGATTTTTTCATTGTTATTTTCAAACGGAACAATTTTTTTTTTATATTGTTTATAAGGTACGAATAAAAAAAGGTCCAATGACTTTTTACGATAAAGTTAATATTTTCGGAGTTATGAATTTCTAAAGGTTTGAAAAATGTCGAATTCGGATACCTACTTCGAATTTTTTTTCTTATTTCTTAGAAATGCTGGTTTCCTCACGATGTTTTCACGGCGAAGGAAAACATCGTGAGGAAACCTGCATTTCAGAGAAATAAGAAAAAAAATTTCGAAGAAATGTGATGTTCGCCAACATGCGCGGCGGACATTTGCATGCCCCAAAACCCTCTCAGAAATAAGGGAGGGCTGTGCCCTGCAGTGGGACGTATATAGGATGTAACTTTTACTTTAATATGGAAATGACAATCAAATTTCACATTAATTTGTTTTTATCTATTTAATAAACCTCTGTTAAAGATTTTGCAAATAGAAAGTAATTTTGGCTTGAACATGTTAATTATTTCATTCGCTCATTTATTACAAAGTCCACTCCTGAATATAGGTCTTCCCTGACTCCCTGAGATAGCCTCATAAGAGGGATATTTGGCATAGTTGCCACGCTTGGTAGGCGGGGCTTGCAGCTGCAGTATTCTTTTTATTTATATTGAGCTGTTAGCAAAAATATACATATTCATCCCACAGGTGTCGTAAGAGGCAACAGGGGGAAAACAAAGGAGATGGGCAGCAGCATTATTCTGATAACAAACTAAAACAAACTAAATAATTAAAAAAAAAACGCCGTTACTAATCCGTCTGCTAAACGTGGCAACTATGGCAAACATACCTCCATGAGTAACGATTTATTGCTTTGATGAATTTGTAGTAGTTCTAAACGCAGCTTTACCAGTAAGAGGATTTAATACCCAGTTTCATAAATAGCATAAAATGAAACGAAAATCTTACATTCTAGCACAAATGCTTTTATTTCCTTTTATCACACGTCAAAGAACCAAATAGTCGCGTCAAATGAGATATCTTATATAAAACGATATCGAATGAAAGAAAAGTAACGGATTACTCGTCTTTTCATATTTTCAATGAGGCAAGGACATTATTTATTTATTAATCTCATTTAATTTTTTTTTAAAAACGTTACCCCCATACCAGGATTTTCTCCTGTATCATGGAGGCAGTTCATAAACAGAAATTACACAAGGACAAACATCCAGAACAATTATTTGCAGGCCATAAGTACACATACATGTTCCGTGCGTGATTCAAACCCGTGGCCTCAGCGCAGCAACTCATTGCTAAGCCACTGCGCCACGGAGCCGTCATATATTATAGTATATTTTAACATTTTGTATATTTTAATTTAAATATTAAAATATACAATATTTATTACCATAATTAAAAAAAAAACTAAATCTTAATTATTATAGTCCTACTTCACGCGATATGGTGCCAAGAACGCTGGCTGCGTTTCCTCGCTAAAATAATACTGAAATACTATACTTGGCTATTGAGCGAGAAAATAATCAGCCCACTTATCACCAGCGGCGACGATAAGTCGTGGATAGTTTCTTTAAGAATTTATCTGCACGTGGACCCCGCGGACCAATTGTCTCTACAGCAAATGACACAAATATGTTGTCATCTCTTAGAGACTCAAATTTGCCCTACTTAGTTCAGCCGCCTGTGATGCCGCCTCGGCTAATCGAGGTACCCCTGAGATAAGAGGTTGACAAAGTTCCACGTACGTACCCCTACGAGGGCTTTACCTCTATACCAAATGAACAAAGCCATATCGTCTAGTCTCCTGCCTTCGTCTCCAAATATTGCACGAGGTTCTGAAACCGAGGGGACGTATATAGAGACAAGAGCTTTTCGGAAAACACCGTGACCTAATACTACCTAACCAACCGCAACCTACCTAACATTTAAACTGATTTTTTTTACATATACATAATACTAACAATTTATGGTCCTTTGGTTAAGTATAGTGTATTGTTTAATTATGGATGATTCATAGAAATGCAAAGATATATTATAACTTTCAAATAAATTTGTCGGTACGATACGCGTGCCCTCTACTGTAAGTTAATTGTACTATGCCTATAACCTTCGCGAAAGTGCAAGCAGTAAGTAGACAAAGTTTTACCGTATAGAATCTTACGAACGGTGTGGCATCGCATAAAATACGGACAAGCTTTGTTATATTATGAAACGATAATGAATACAATTTTCATTTTCTTTAAAAATTGGTTAGAAGTTATGCTTTGAAAGCTAATTTTAAATACTTTTAGTAACATGACGATTTTGGATACGTTGCAGTTGACGAACCAAGTGGAAAAGTTGGCGCAGGTCAGTCGCGATCTACGACGGAAGCACAAGCAGCTACAAAACCAGGTAATTCTTACCATTTCTTCTATTAAAGCCTAGCCTAGGTCTAGCAGCTGTCGCTGAAGTGCAGTGATAACGATGAAGACTAGTTTAAGGCAGCGTGCCAGATATATGTATATGTATGTATTATATGTATTTATATTATCTTATTATTAAAGCTATAAATCCAGGTTGGAACTGTTATTTTACGCTGGTATTTTGTGTGAGCGTGGTCCTACACCGGTCGAGCTGACCCATTCGTGCTTCAACCATAATATAGCTGCGGCGCGTCTATACCACGTATAGCCGCATATTAATTTATTTAGTTTTTAAATTTTTTGATATTTCGTAAGACATTTGAATATAAGGCATATAGAACGTATTAATAAGTATACATAATGCAACACAGCCATATTGGCTATTGGACGGAGTATCAAACTACTACTACTCAGCGGTTTCTGGAAGTTCCTAGAGTCCCATTCGGAGCTAACATCATGTAAAACATAAATTGTTGGATTTCGGGACTGATTCGGGGTTTTTGGTACGAAATTCCTTATCGGACGGTACGAATTTGGCGGATGGGGGTTAGGCGAGAAAAAGAGTAAAATTTTTCTGTCACGACCCCATCTGACGGAGTGTAGACGGCCTTGGCAGCTATAAGGAAGCGTGATGGAATAATATTCATCTCCCGCGCACTTTTTCTGATCTTGCCATGAAAGAAATATTATTTTATTTTAAATGACGCTTCATTTTAATAGACGCTAATAATGCACTTATTTGTATTTGATAATCAATAATATAATACGTTTATCAATAATAATATATTTGAAGCGACAGTAGCCTAATGGCAGGGCGCGGACCGCGAACTCGAAAGGTCGTGGGTTTGAATCCGCCATTCGACTACTGCCGTGAACCACTTCTAACACGAGCATTTTAAGCTTACCAGAAGTAGTTTACGGGAATATTAGTAATGTTTAATAGCATTACTCGTATTTAAAAAAAAAAGAAAAAATAATACTACGAAAGGACCTTCGTTCCAATCGAGTGTTCCACGACACTCACGCATGTTTTTTTTTTTTAATATTAACACCTCACTCATTTATATATTGCTGCATAATACATAATTAAAACAAAAAACTGGGTCATTCGCTCACTCACCCGCAACACGATTCGTATTGTTAGTGAGTAAGGTGTTTCATTGTTGAAATTCGAGTAACTTATTCAATTAGCGGCAACTCACGGTAACTCACTCATCCTTAGTGAGGGACATATCACTAGCAGCAGCAGCTTCCTGATATCAACTCAAGATTAATAAAAACGGCGGTTGTCAATCGGAAAATCGGATAAGGAAACAGCATATAATGTGAAGTAACAAACGGTCCATTTGGAATAAACATCTTCTTTTGTGGCCGTAGGAAAAAAGTTGTATTAAATATATTTTACAGTCTTATAATATTTTACGAAAATTTATTTTTAAGAATTAAGTTATTAAGAATTAAGTTTGGCGGTGTAAGAATATATCATATCATGCCACCACCACATATCATCCCTTGGGTGTCGTAAGAGACGACAGAGGGAAACAAATCAGGAGATGGGTAGAAGCGTCTTCGTAATAACGACTAAAAATAAAAACTGCGGTTGCCAACCCCCTTGCCAGGCGTAGCAACTATGGGTAATAAAAAATGAAGGTATAAGGCATTATATGGCGAGGCCTATGTTCAGCAGTGAACTTTAATAGGCTGTAACGGTAGCGGTAGTAATTATGCATTAGGCAATACAAAATGTGTCCCATATTCTCTTAAATCTGTGTGTCTCTTAAGTCTGTCATTTCATGTAAAGATAGTAAGACAATATAAAATTATATGGGTATGTCTTGTGCAAAAATGCACTGGACAAGTTAAAGTGCAAAGCTCCTTTAACCTAAATTATTTCAAGATAAAGTAGCCGATCATAATATCATCACTATCGCTTAAGCCACTAGTGTCGTTATACCCCTTGTCATCGTAATTCGATGACAGCTAAAGAGCACTTCACTTTACTCACTTTATATCTTCAACAAAGAAAATTACTTAACTCATGTAGAAAAATTTAAAGGTATGCATAGCACTATCATAAAGCATTTTTGTTTTCTAAAATATTTCCTATGTTAATATATTTGACATGAAAAATCTGAATTAGTGTAATTTCTTACTTAGAAGACATGTTATCCGTTTATTATTTATATAAAAGAGAAACACGGATGTTTACGTGGTAAAGCCATGCTACAGCTATAATAGTAGGATAGGATAGGAATGGGTCGGCTCGACCGGAGAAGGACCGCGCTCTCGTAGAATACCAACATAAAATAGCGGCTTAACGCTGCTGTGTTTCGTATGGTGAGTGTAGAGAACCGGAGACCCTTTTTACTGGAAAAGAGGCATTACATCTTAGCCCTCACGGGTGACAACGCATCTGCATTTTGATTCATAAGCTAGGATAGATGTAGATTTCTATAGGCCGCAGCAACCGCTTATCATCAGGTGGACTGTGTGCTCGTTTGTCACCCTTATCATTAAATAAAAGCAGTTCCAAATTTGTGAAATCTATTTCTCAATATCCATAAACTTGTGAAAGTTTTGATCAAGATAATTGTCATTACATTATAATACGACCGTATTTACTTCCTCAAATATAAAACTATTTTCATATTTGGTCAATCAATTTTGTTGATTTACAAACAGTAGTTTTAAATGGTCGATATGATTATTTTTAGTTTAGTGCGATAGAACGACTGTTCATAAACTCGTGACGTCCGTTTCAATGTTTATGGTACCCGACTTTGATTACCGTCAGCTCTACTGAAATTTAAAAACTGATCTTTCACGTGGTGAAAGAAAGCATTGTTAGGAAACCTTACTTTTACTTCACTGAAGGACAATTTTATTAAAGCACGCAAACACACTGGTTTCCATTGGTTTTTTTTAAGTCAAGTAAGAATTGTTTTCCTCATCTACATAAAAGGGTAATTGCGCTCAAGATACATAAAAAGTCTTTGAAGTAAGGACTAAAAGTTGCATTTAAAACGATTCAAATTTAAAACCAAACTTTAAAATTTGGCACGAAAACAGAAACAGCAAAGCCTTTTAGGAACAGCAAGCTTAAACTTTCGCAATATAACAGAAGCATACTAAATGTGCGGAATACTTTGCTTGCTTCAATGGCAACATTTTAAAACCGTTGTATTTTCTGGTTCAGTCCAACAATCACTACAAATTCTGTGTGGACAAATACTGGGTAAAGTTAGAAACATTTTCTATTCCATTAAAATAAATAAATCCAGTCGCCCGTTAATTAAAACAGTCTGTTATCGCGCAATAAGTTTCACCAATTGTCTTTAAACTGTACCTTGGGTCTTGTTACATCTGTCCCGTTCCTATTTACTGCGGAACTCTCACAACAGGCTTACTGCTAAATTATTCCATAGATAAACTACAGACTACCAAAAAGAAACGTTCGGATACATTCGCAACGTAATTGCACATTTTATTGTTCATTTTATTTTTTGTCATCAGTAAAGTCTTGACATAAATATTGTATCAGTTATTATTTGTATAGATTTATTTAAGTGTTCTAATACAATGGTAGGTTTTAAATACCGGAATATTTGTGTGTCCGAATCCGAATATAAAAACAGGCATTTAAAGAAAGGGTGTTAAATGCGATGTGTTACCATGATATATGATAGTAACTAACACGGCATTGTGTATTGTCATTTGCTGATTTTCTAACACATTCTGACCTCTCACAATAGAGTGAAGAGCACCATTCACTTTGCGACGAGCATTTACTCTTCATTTTATACCCTTGTCATGTTTATCGTCTCCGCTAAACACACATTGTACACGTGATAGAGCCATGCTGCAGCGTGGTTGTAGCATGAATGGATCGGCTCGACCTGGAAGGACGAATCAATGCTGCTGTGTCTCATATAGTGAGTGTGGAGTGAATCCGGAGTGGCAACAAGGGTGACAACTGTATTTTGATTATTGATTGATATAGATGTAGATCTCTATGGGACACAGCAACCACTTACCATCAGATGAAAGGTATGCCCGTTTGTCACCATTATTCTATTTAAAAACAACCACTTGCTCAACTAACTCCCCTTCTTTCCTTATTTCATTTATTATCATTTTACTATCTTCTCGTTTAAAAACCACCACTTTCATCTAATTTTCTCTAACTTCACTCTACTTACTTTACTTTGTCACTTCCGTAGACGTTTCCAAAGACTACAGTAACCACTTACCATCAGATAAACTGTTTGGCGTTTGTCACTTCAGTCCACTTACAGTACCCTGGTCATGATCTTCTTAAGAATGTGCGCGTGAAGAAGCTACGTCGCAACGTATAATGACTGCAGCACGAATTGGTTGAATCGACCGGGGAAGGACCACGCACGCACAGAATGGCAGCGTTAAATAGTAACATAATGCGTTCCTTTTTGTGAGCGACGACAACTGTAGACATTATTTTACTGGTAACGAGGCACTCCGTATTTGTCCTTAGAGGTGACAAAATGATAAAGCAACTGCATGGGCTACATCAACTATTTCATATGGCCCGTGTGCTCGTTTGTACCCCTTAATTCTATAAAAAGAAGGTACGCTCGTATGCACCTACATGTTATTGAATCGAATGTGTATTTCGTTATGATAGCGATTATATTTTATTCATTACGATCTAATTGATACACCGTGTAGCCATAACTACGTTTGTTCAATACCAAACAGTACGTCAACAATGCACATGGTATAAAACGGTGGTCAGAGCGTAATCGACATATATCTCATATACATTAAGTTTCTATATTATCTATGCTTTTTCCATAAATTATGCATTAATGCATTCTAAAATTTGTTAGAAATCATGCTGTAAATTAATTTTTTATTCGTTTAAAATGTTTCCAGGTGCGCTTAGTATGCGAAGAACGCACTGAACTGACCGCTATAGTCCAATCACAACAGAGGGATATCGCCGCGCTACAGCAATCCGATGCCCGGAACAAGGTAATTTTTTGCTGTTATAATTATTTTATTACATAGAATTTTGTCGTAAAATTTTTTACGTATACAAATACAAATTCAATATTAATAATATGCATATGTGCCAGACCTTAAATAACTAACATCACAATTTACACATGCTGAAGACTGTGTGCCAATTGGCATATGCATAGCGTGGCGATATGACAAGTCCTCACTACTGTGAGCCCTATTTACAGCAGTGAACTTTGAACTGGCTTGTCAAAAAGATGAATCAGAAGAAAAGTAAAAAATCTCTTTCAATACCATTAATGTTTGTTATATAGCAAAAGTGCACTTCATGTGGCGCGGGCTTCGCCGAGGGCCCGGACGACGAGGACCAGTCGTCGAAGCCGACTTTCAGTGTGCGAGAACTGCGCGCCATACTGCACGAGCGGAACGAACTAAAGTTAAAACTCAACCGCGCCGAAGAACAGTTACAAGCGCTACAGGTCGAGCCGCAGCCGGATAGGTGAGTTCTTCCTTTAACGGTCAAAATTAATATCCTATCTATCCACGAATTGCCATACTAGAGATTTAAATTTGACATAAAATACATGCTGTTCGCATAAAAGCAACTGTGTCTATTTTAAGACATCACTATCATGCGTCATCTCTATTTCTTCTTCATCATCATCATCATCATCATCTTTTGAAATTTTAAGTATGGAGTAAACCAGATAGTTATTTATGTTATTTAACTTACTATTATGATGCCAAAAAACGAGTACTGTAATATTTTTAGATAGCCTGTAGATAGCACGTAAACAAAGTGAATAATTTTTTTTTATAGTTATACCGCCATGTACAGGCTGTTTGAAGTATAGATTGGGTCCTTCAGGCCTTTTTCTTAAGCATGTTATCATACGCTTTTAAAAATAAGTCATCTATAATTTTTTTGACATTAGATGGCGTTGATTTCGTAAGCCAATAAAATATGACAGAAATCAAAACTTTGCCTAAGGTTGTCAAAATTTGAGTATGGGATTTCATTTTTCAGTGATTCCTTTATTTGAAGTATTGAAGTCACCAAACGAATATAATATAATATTATTACAGTACAAGTTCGGACACGTCCCCATCGGTGAGCACAACCGTCAATGAGGAGGAAGAGGCGCCTGTCCAAGGTCCGTTGCCCGCAGAACCTGACGACGCCCCGTGGAAACGCAACAGTGGAATAAGGAAGTTGTAAGTCCTAGTTGATAACTTTCTTTTTACTAGGTATGCGAGTGGGAGATGGGCAGGGTAATATAGCATGCATGTTGGAATTTGCTTTTTGCTTGCATGTCGTTCTTATTGCAATTACACTGCGCCTTCGATAATCAAATAGATTGATATTTTTAGATAACATACAAATCTTAGTTTCGTGATATAACATTTTTGAGATTAAATTATTAAAATGCCTTATTTCTAAGTCATGTATAAGTGTTAAATGGAACATCTTGCGCTACAGTTAGCTTTAATTATATTTCATCAACAATAATAGCTTCTTTTGAGTTACTATTAGTTTGAAAATGAAATTTAAGCCAAACCTTTACTAGTGGAAGTGACCGGCGTTTTGACGCGTCTAATGTACAATATAGTGGTCTATTTATTAGCAGTTTATAAACTTGGATTAAAGAGTATAATACTAGTTCATACTTATACACATTTGAGATATTATATACTCATTAAAATTAAAATAAATGCGGTTCTGAACTATAAGTCGATCGATTGATCGACCGTTATTGTATCAAAATGTGTGCAGTTTTTATTTATTGAAAATTAGAAATAATAATTTTAGGACAGTATTTGAAAATTACAGATTATTTAATGGATTTTTTAACATAATAATATGCATAATTTTGCTGTGAAACAAATTAGTATCTAAATTAATCTTTCTATTAATATTATGCTGGCTTATTTTGCATTTTAACCTTCATATATAGATATTTAAAGTGCTTCCTGCTGCATTATAAAATGTAATTATTCGTTAGTGTTTATGTATTGTTAACAATCGAGTGTTATTAACAATTGGTGAATTGGAATGTGTTGGATTGTTTTATATTGGAAGTAACACGATATTATATATATATTTTCTGATTTATTTTATTTGTCACACTCACACCACGCTTTGTTATTTGGTTCTGGTACATTTTTCCCATAATTTTATTTATGTACAGGGAAGTAGAAATCGCATGAATAAAATTAAGATTTTGTTTGACACCAAACCATTTGGCTAGTGATATTTTCTATCAAAATTTTTGATTTTTCTAGGTGCTTTATATAAAATAATGAAAGGAAAATGCGACCAGGGCCGAAAGAGATCATCGTAACACTAGACACGAAGCACGGAATTGCATGAATTGTCGATTGTAAAATTATACTGGTGCCTAGTGCTTACGTTGCTTAGCCACAATCCTAAATCCCATCCTTTTACTATTTCTTTCACCTTCAAACATCTTTATATTAAATAAATGTGCGTGCATAACTTTCACTTTTGCACAATTATATGTTATGTACAGTTGTTTCGAAACGTTTATTTTTTCAAATTACTTATCCTTTTTTTTTTTGAAAAAACAAATAGAAAATATAATGTAATTTTGAAGTAAAATATTACATCTGACATTAAATGTACAGATATGAAATAACAAACTTGATATAATTTTTAAATTTTTTCCTTATAATTTATTTATTTTTTCCATACCGCGTTTTGAACTCGTAAAACGCATTATTTATTATACCACATTAAGTTTTATCCCGTTGTTATTTTGTCCGAGTGTTTGTCATTTTTGGTTGAACCCCTCCTGAAGTGTTGTGGTTGCGTGTGTGCGGCCAGGTTCTGGCTGGCGATGACGTCACGCGACGCCGGCCGCCGCTCGCCGCCGGCGCGGATCTCTTTCGGCCCTTGGTACTGATTGCGACCGACACTAAGGTATTTGTTTTACACGAGGGTGGCTCTAGCTGACGAGAAATTATTCTCATTTTCAGGTCTATAATATGTAATGATGATTGATTGCTCATTTAGCTGGAGGCTTTATAAGCTTTTAGTTTGAATATGTTAATTAGAACAATTGGTGAATACATTTCTGTTTGATTGGTGCATTGCCAAGCAAGTTATTTTTATTTCGATATTATATTAGATTAGAATATACGTAACTTTCATCGGTGACTAGTAATAATTCAATGACAAAAGTCCTACATAGTTTATATTTTTATTGTTCAAGTGTTAAACTTAAATAATAATATGACACTAGTTTTTGGACACGTTACTATGAACAGCTACAGAAGCGTTTCTTCAGATTCAAAATATCGTAAGTCTTTTGTATTTACTTCTATGAGGCTTACGTTAAGTAACCGTTATGGCTATGCTCGGGATTTCTCTGCGTGATAAACTTAGAAATGAGGTTATCCGCAGTAGAACTAGAGTAACCGACATAGCCCAATGGATTAGTAAGCTGAAGTGGTAATGGGCCGGTCATATAGCTCGAAGAACCGACAACCGAGAGGGACAAAAGGTTCTCGAGTGGCAACCTCGTACCAGTAGGCAAAGTTTAGGGGGTCCCCCTAAACTTCCACTAGATGGAGTGGCGAACTGGTAAGACATGCAGGAAGTTGATGGATGCAGGTGGTTTAGGACCGTGCTTTGTGGCATTCCTTGGGGGAGGTGTTCAGCAGTGGACTTGTGAAGGGTTGTAATGATGATGATGATTATGATGTCTTCAAATAATTTTATTTAAGGGTAGTTATTTCGGCAATATGTGGCTATTTAGTGTTTTGCAGCTTTTGTTCAAACTCCATATTATTTATAATTATTCGGCTTTTGGCTAAAGGATCAACTATAACAAGACTTCTTGCTAACCTTATGTTGCTTTTATTAAAGTTCTTATAGGATTACATTTTACACTACAACGACTCACGAATATTGTGAGATTTCCGCTATACCAGAATAAAACTATAGTTTAATTGATTGTTAAATAACTTAAGTTCTTCAGTGCCATTAAAAATTTCGTGTTTAGCCATCTTAGCGCGAACAGTACTCACTCAATCCGTCATAAATAACAAGTCAACAATAAGAACAAATCAAAGTAAGGCGCGATAAAAAAAAAACGTAAAAATTTGATTTAGTTCTATATTAACACTTAGTTTACACATGTTCCTTTATGACGATTAAAGTGGTGATATTTAAATAACATTTTTATTTATCAAGAAGAAACAACTTAAGCATAGCAAGAAATTCAAAATAACTTATACTGTGTTAATCTGTTAATTATCAATATTAATGCGTTAATATGAAAATAAACACTGCTTATAACGTTTTGTACTATTTATAATGAATTCTTGAATGATTATGTCCAATGTTTAAAACTGAAATTAAAAAAGTAAAATGTCTATTGAAAGGCGTAAAATTTAACCACAGCCTATGTCACTTTCACAACTAAGTCGAATCTGATGATACCCCCATATGTCTCGACCCATCAATCCCATAAATCCTGGCTACAAATCCTGACAAAGAAATAGACATACATACTTACATCGGTGATTTAACGATCTGTTTTCAGTAACGGGATATACTCCATGCATCGCATGTCAGTCTCGTTCTTCTCGAACTACATTCGAGCTCATGTTTCTTTATATCGTGATTATCTAGAAATGGTGATATGAAAAATAAAGAAAAATAACTTGTAAGGTCTATTGTTTAATGAAAGTGGCTTCAACATCGGTTATCATAATGATAGCACCGGTTTATTATAATGAAGTGAACATGGTGCTGAGATTTCTCACAAACCAACGCCGAGAGTCTATAATTTTCATCATTATCATTTTACCTTATAGTCCGGTACTAGTTTTAACTCTAGTCAAAAATAATTAATAAATTACCTATTTTAATAATTATTTTACATGATGCGATCTATTCCATGTTTATTTTTTTTAAATTAAGTGTACCGTCAGTTGTTACGAATAAAAAAAAATACATTGACACCCCTCACGCTCAGTAAAAAGGTCAATTTACACTCACCATAAAACAGCAGCTTTATACTTCTATTTTACGTTAGTAATTTGTGAGACCGTGGTCTATTCCCGGTGGAACAAACCAATACGTATTGTAGTTATGTATGTAATATAATTTTATTAAATATCAATAATATTTAATAGTTATATATAACAGCTGCAGTGTCGCTCTACCGAATAATTCACATTAACGCATTAACTATGTATGTATAATTTCAACCTCTAACCAAGGATGTAAAAAATACGGCCATAATGTTACATTGAAAATGTGTGGAGTACCTTAGGTCCTACAATTTTGTTTATTATACACGACGAGATACATGCACACAAATACGTAAAAATCTTTGAATAAAACTATTTGTACGGATTTTATCGCGTTTAATTAACTTACTTTTACTTAGTTTCGGGTGCTTTACAGCATCCATAGTCACCGGGGGGGGGGGGGGGGGGAATGGGATACTGAGATGTTTGATGTTCCAATGTCATAGTTAACCTGGCTACCTTCAGTTTTTAAATATTACTTTATTAATTTTTGGTCCGATCTACGCAGAACGAGCTTACAGTATGTTGAAACCTTGCAGTGGTATGCTTGTGCTTGGATCTGAGTTTGTTAATTGTAGAATACCAAGCAGATGTCAGCACCCATCCATCTTCGCTATTGAAATTAGAATGTTTTTTAATTTCAATAGCCGTATCATCGTTGGTTTATCAAATCTTATGTAATGGTGGGGACGATCTTGAACATGTTCACAGACTGCAGACTTCCCGGAGCGTCGGTGCTTCACGTCAGCTACATGTTATTTCACGCGAGTTTTTATAGATCTTTTTGTTTGTTCTATGTAAGAGAGACCACATTCACAATATAGCTTGTACTACACTCCTGCATCGATGGATGGTAATAATGTACTAATCTTCTTGGGCGGCTTGAAGAATGTTTTAATGGAAGCTCGCTCCAAGATGTAGCCAACCTTGTCTGTGACTCCTCTGACATATGGCAGTACAGCAGGCATACGTTCGATTGTGGTCGGCTTCACTTGGTCACTGTGACGTATGCGCGGGACCCGAAGCTTGTTGTCTTGCAATACTTGCTTGACGTGCTGGAGCTCGGCGGCCAGATGTTTTACTGTCACAGATCCCTTGTGCTCTCTGTAACAAAGATTTATCCATGGTAGCTAACTATGTCGGATAATGGTGAGATTCACCATTTCAATATCGGTTGATATGGGTCTTTTTCCTACACACAGTGTGACCTATAGTATTATCAGGCTTTCAGATGACTAAAACATCTAGAAGAAAGCTAAAGAATTATTTGCCTCTAACTCGTCCTCTTACATAGGACAAACAATAAGATCTATAAAACTCCGCGTGAAAGAACATATAGCTGACGTGAAACGTCGACGCTCCGGGAAGGCTGCAGTCTGTAAACATGTTCAAGATCGTCCTCATCATTGCATCAGATTTCATAAACCACAAATCCTCGCAAAAGAACACCGATTTCTGCCAAGGATGACACGCGAGGTTATTGAAATTTTAAAAAAAAATCTAATTTCCACGGAATATAAAAAACAAGAGGAAGCCCAAAGTGAGTGGGGCAGGCTGGTCGCAATTAGGGTCAGTAGAGCGTAATCGACCAAATTTTCGCGAGCTAACTGATCAAGTGATATATGCGAAAATATGCCGTTTTGTGCAATATTGGAGTGTAAAAACGAAACTAAAAAGAATAATATTTCGAATTATTTCGAGGTATTTCGTACCAAAGCCACGCGTCATTTTTCCTTTTTTGCATAAAAACTTACCTAAACATGGACAAAATTTCAGATTGCCTTTATTGGAAGTCATCTTCAACCTTATTTCGTTAATCTATAAGCTTCATCTGTTAATACATTTTGAATAAAAATTGTTGCGATAGTGTTGCGACTACGCTATTTAAGTTAAATTATTAAAGTTTTCGATAAAATTTTATCTCAGTCCTGTCTATTCACTAACATATTAATAAAAATGTGCAAATACTGGATGACTATGAAAATATACGCAATTATAGGAGGATGACACTATGAATGAACATTTTTGTTACGGTTGTTAAGCCAGAGAAGTAAGTAGTTTAGTATATTATATTATATTCATAATATATCCTTATGTATATTAAGTAAGTTTATTACTTAAGTATATTATATTATATTCATAATATATATAATAATTTCTATTAACACAACTAATTATATGCCGGCTATATACAGTGGTGGTCACATAATTAAAGACACTAGAGGGATATTAAAACAACAAAGTTTATCTACTCTTATTTTCTTGTTGAAATTTAATACGAGCTAGAAACAATATTAAAATCATTCGGAAATTCATTGTAAAATGTTGGAATTAAACATCGAAAATAAACCTCACGTGTCCCGAATATTTATTCAGTTTAACTACATTTAGACTACTATGACCTAAGCAAAGACTTGGCAAAGTAATTAAAGACGCACAAACTAAGTAATTATGAAAAAAAATGTATTGTAAATAAAAAACTTTATTTTGATAAATTTAAGACATATTATAAAATCAAAAAACCACGTTATTAATATCTTGTCGCGTGTCCTTTAGCAGCAATAACAGCTCGACATCGCCTTGGCATTGATGCGATCAATTTATTGCAAGTTTCAATTGAAATTTGTTCCCATGCTTCTTTAAGAGCGGCATAAAGTTGGTGTACGTTTTAATGCCACTATTTTCTTAACGCGGTACCACAAGTTTTCAATGGGGTTGATGTCAGAGCTGTACGGTGGCCAATCTAACACAGTTACTGACTGGCTTCTTAGGAATTCTTTGACAACTTTTGCTGTGTGTTTCGGGTCATTGTCGTGTTGGAAAGTCCAAACCACCGGCAAACTTTCGTCAGCATAGGGTATCATGACTTCCTCTAAAATATGCTAGTACTGGAATTTATTTATGTTACCTTCTATTTTCTTGATAGGTTCTATACTATGACTAGAAAAACAACCCCAAACTTTAATGTTTCCGCCTCCATGTTTTACTGTTTTCTTCGTGTACTTCGGATCCATTTCTTTTTTAGAAGGACGTCTCACGTACATTTTTCCATCAGAAGTAATCATATTAATTTTCGTTTCATCAGAAAAAAGTACATTTTTCCACTCACGTTCTGTCCAATGTTCATGTTTTTTGGCAAACACTAATTTAGCTTGGATGTTTTCCGTCTTTAATAGTGGCACCTTACGAGATATTCTTCCGAATAAGTTTGTTTCACACAATCGCCTTCTTATCGTTCTTGCAGACACCCCTCTCAATCTTTCCTCACCAAATATTTCTGAGAAAATCAGTTCTGATCCTTTAAACGGTTCCCTTTTTGCCAACAACACTATTATTGAGTCTTCTTGTGGGATTGTTTTTCTAGGTCTAGTCTTCCTGGGCACATATTCAGTAGTATTAAAGTTCTTAAAATGCCGGATAGCATTCAGAACCATATCTTTAGAGCATCCTAACTGATCTGCAATCTTCCTACATGACCAACCTTTGCCATAAAACTTGAGAATCGTCTTCCTTGTAGATGGATCCCAGCTTTTGTTTTGTCCCATAATAACACTAATAAAATTTAATAATTTCTATTAAGTACAAAGCTAGTTTTTATTTTTATTCTATGTACTGTGAAAATTCACGCCAAATGAAAAATAACATAATTGTTTTAACATTATATTTTAAAAGTAGAACACGAAAAACACACTGTCTTTAATTAGCTGGCCAGTGGTTAACTTGTCGAAAAAGTTTTTATTTTGTTTAAAAAAGGAATAAAATCTCAACTATTGCTAAATACACGTTTTTGATATTTCCATTTTAATGATACGATCTCAGTGTAAAGATTAATAACTATGAAATATAATTAATACCTACTTTGAGTACTCTACACGTCTGTAATACTGTTGTATGTGGTCACACAGAAGAGTGTCTTTAATTATGTGACCGCCACTGTAAATTACATTCCATCACGTATATCCCATACGCATCAAGGCAATAGCCAATAAATTTAGCTATTTTACTCATTTTATATATTTTCCTATACTTTAATATTAACTGAATATCATCACTAACATCCTTCCTGTAGCTCTACAGGTTAGGTAGGGCAAAGTCAACGTTATGTCTATTGTCATTGCGCCTATAATAGCGCGAATGTATTATTGCAACATCTCGCGTCACATAACAAATTTTTTTCGTCAATCTTGGAAGTTTTTTAGATTATGATATTACTTATTAAACTACGTTTATGAAAAGGAATATGATCTTTATTTTTAAGTACTTACGGTCTGTACTCTAGTGAGTGGTGAATAACATAAATCCATTCTGTTCTATTTTTTACTAGCGAATCATGCAAAAATTATTAAAATGGTGCATAATTGTCGGTACATATTTCTTTCGTGTGAATGTGTGAGTTTGGTGACAGTGGTTTTAGTACTTCCTATTGTTTTTTTATATTCCGTGCTAATTACAATAGAGAAGATGGATGGGTGCTGCCATCTGCTTGGGATCCTATAATTAACAAAATTAAATCCAAACCCAAGCATACCACTGCCAGACTTCAAGATACTGTAATCTCGTTCTGCGTAGATCGGCCCAAAAAGTTATATTCAAAAACTGAAGGTAGCCGGGCTAACTATGACATTGGGACGTCAAACATCTCAGTCTCCCCCCGTGATCATGGATGCTGTCGGGAATTAAAATAAGTTAATTAAACGCGATAAATTCCGTATAAATAGTTATTCAATGTGTAGTGTTCGCGTACATATTAGAAATCATTACGTAAAGGTCTGACAATTGGCGCCAGAATATAGTGCGCATCAGCTCTAACACTGACACGCTTTGCACACTGGCACCGATCGTCATTTTTGTGTGTATCTCGCGTACGACAAACAAAATAGTACGACCTGTGGGGTTAGCCAATATGGCTTTCTACGATCGTTAACGCTATAGAAAACTATAAAAATTAATAGGATTCACATATCTGAACGTTAAGTCACGTGACTGCGTTGGTTTTACTTCTTTTTGCCGCGTTTTTATTAAGTAAATTTTTTGTTTGTCTGTCGTCAATTTAATAATTGGTTTTAAACTAATTTCCCGATAAGCTTGAAATTTTTTAATATAGCTCATATTTGGTATATTAGTGGTGGTATATTAAAAAAATTAACACAAAATAAAAAAAAAATTGTTGTATATTTATAGTTCACTATCGTAGAATGTCATGTTGGCTAGTCCCGTTTCTTGCGTCACATAGTGTAGCATTACGTCCGTGTTTTTTACCGTCCGCGGCTCCTACTAAGACATTGTCTCCCGGCCGGCAGTTTTCGCAAGCTCTTTGCTGAGTCTGATCTCGCCGTGGGCGCGTTCCCCCGGCCGCTGGCGGCGCGGGGCCGGGCCGCGGCCTGTGGCGCCGCCTCCGCCCCCGCGTAGGCACTCCGCCCCCACCGCGCACCCCACACACAAACAACACACACCCAGACGCCACACAGAAATCAAAAAATCCAAGCCGGAGCTCGATCTCCGACAGGAACTAAGTCTGAACCTCGACAACTGCGAAGTGGACGACTGGCTCGGAACCAGATTCGACGGGAGTGACGCGGACGACGAGGTTTCGGATGACCGATTCAGTCACGACTCACCATTGCAACGGTCGATGTCGTTGGATGGCGGCATAGAGATTTTTAAACATATGAACACTCTGCGTTCAGATTGGTCGGATAATTCATCGTCATGGACATTGTACTCGGGTGAGAGTGATAGTCGCATTCTTGAACAATATAGGAGTTTTGAAGATGTTCCGGCTTCTCAGATTAAAATGAAAAGCAGGCGTGCATCTTTGGCGACACAGAATGAGGGAAATATCTTGACTCTACATGTACTAAACAGTTACAAGGGGGTGGAAATGGAGTACGGCAACCTATCTTCTCAAATTAAAAAAATACAAAAAACATTTTCGTTCAAGAGCTTTTTAGATAAAGTCAAGGAATCTGACAATAGTACCGACAAAAACCTAGAAGTCCAGAAAGACGATGAGCTTAAGTTGGAAATGAGAGTATCGTTGTCTAGAAGCATGTCTTTTGAATCGCAAGATATGAAAGCTGTGAAAAAAGATAAGCAAATAGAGGTACCTTCAGGCCAAAAAAGTACTGGTCCAACACAAAACTTATCTTATGAAGATGCTAGAAATCTTGACACAGATTTGGGAAAGAAAGTTTTGATAAAACGTAGCAAGTCTAACATTCATTTTAAGAGGTGGGAAAAGCTAGCTGAAAATACTAGTAACGATCGTAGTAGATCTGTAAAAAATGTATCGCTGTCAGCAGATACTCCTTTCGTTAATTTTAAAGAAAGTGACAAAATTAAAAACAACATTTTAGATATTCCTCAACCCCAAAGGAATAATGTGACCTGTAGCAATTTAGATAAGGAACTTATAGTCCCCACAAATGTAGTAACAGACGTGAACTTGGTAGATAATGAAGTCAGCAATATTGATCCTAAAGTCGATATTTGTGTGGACTATTTGGTCATCGATGATAGTATAAAGAAACTAGGTGTCCCCATAGATCCTGTTAATGTTATAAAAGCTGAAAGCGTTTGTGACTGTCGAATTTGTAGCGAGGATGAAGAAGACGATAGTAAATCTTTCTTACGTAACAAGCTTAGCAAATTGTTTATGAAAATCGTCTCCTTCATCGAGTTCGGTAAGAAATTGACTTCTTGGGATGAGAATAATAACATACGTGAAGGTGAAATGTACAATTGTATAATGCATGTTTTGAAGTTGATGTTTGGTCTTTGGTTAAGGCATTTAGATCACAATCCTCAGGTTAGAGTGCATCAATAAGGTTATTAAGTTATTAAGGGTATTAAGTCATTTCTGTTGAATGTATTTTGTAGAAGGTGGCGCATTTCGTCAGATATACTTTGTCTTATCCTTTGACATTACTTCGAAATATTATTTAAACCTAATATTCTGCAATTCGTAACAAACCAACAATTTTGACATAATTTTTAGTGTTGTTTGAGTAATAACTAGGCTTAAGAATAATTAGATACTGTCTCTGATATTGTGTTGTTGTTTATAGTGGAGTATTAAAACAAATAATACGGAAAATGTCATTATTTTGCAGATATTTTTTAACTTTATAACATAGTTAATGACAAAAAAATTAAAGATACTTAACCGAGTCTTCCGTTAAGAATTTAATTTAATGATTTTATTCCAAAATTTCGTTGTAGGGTAAACAAATGATAGGCACTTTAAGTGGTTAATTCTCGTAAATAAACAAATTTGTTATATTTTTGATTGTTTTGTTGGATTTTAGTTTAGATAGCCTTAAATAAAGTGACGCATTAAGTTTAAAAAGAAATGTTTAATTAATTTAAAAATCTAATTAAACTTTTTTCTTGAGAATGTTGCAATCATTGGCACTTTAGCTTAATGAATGGCACTGTTAATTAAGTATAATAAACTTAGCAAGCTAACAGCATAGCTAAGTGGCGAAGCAATCAGCTTTGTAGCGGTTTCTAACGGTTGCCGTTGAGCAATCAGTTTCAAAATAGGAGGTTCAGATGCCTGGGTGATCAGTAATCGATTGCTGAAAACAGAATTTGAAAATTCGAAACCGTTCTCGAGATAATCGTGGGACAGACGGACAGACATTGTGAAATCAATAAGTGACTTCGCAAGCTTCGCCACTTAATAATTGGCACTATTGGAAGTCTTATAAAGTTATACCCAGATCTTTCTAAGCTCCATCTTATTATTATAAGACTTATTTTGAACAAATCTTCAAATATTTTCCTTAGATCTCCATCTGTAAGCGGTTTCGTTGGTCTATTTGATATGTGCTTTTATCAATAAAACCTTTCTCGATATTTTGTAGAAATAGACCTTTATTTCGGTTTTTCCTATTCTATTATGTGTTGGTAATCTTAAAAGTTCTTAAAAAGTTACTTCGCGTACATCCGCTCGATAAAATAAAATGATGTGTCTTACCTAGTTTAAAGAGGACCTCCCGCCCTCCCTCAATTGCGTGCACTATCCCCGTCACCAATAATCCCAGCACCACTACTCCCAACACCACTACTCCCAACACCACTACACTAGGAAAACTAAAAACACATTTTTAAAACAGCCCTTATAGGAAAATAATTGACAATTTTAAGTATAAATATGTGTTGTCAGTATAAGTTGTTACGGCATACGGCTGCTCCCTTAAAGGGTCAAATCCTCTGGGGCCCATGAGCAGAAGACTTCCCGAGCAGACGTAGGTCGGGCCTCAATGTGGCCCCGTGGAATTTCTCTAATTACACTAAACTATATGGGGGAGCGTTCTATACTACAACATAAGTATAAATATATCCTAGCAATATCTGTGTAGCTGTGATATAGAAAAAGGAAAACGTTATTAACATCCAGATTAAAATAGCAAAGTGCCAATCATTGGGGGAGTGCCAGCATTAGTACTGTTTACCCTATTTAAATTTGTATGTACATAAAAGCTATTATCAAAAATAAAATGTCGTTTATTTCATTGTAAATTTGAATAAATGTACTTATTCAAACTTATATATGTTCTGTTTAATTTTCATTGCCAAGCTATATTATTTTTTTGCAGCGGATCTTGAGCCAGAATTTATAAAACAGAATCTTATAAAAACTTATTATAATTAACATAAGCTGAGATGTCAAGCGGGGTTGCATTATTGTGTTATTTAATGCGGTATTAGAGACAGTATCTTCATTGTGATTGTCAATCAGTATTCTTACAATGTTTTTTTTTATTACCATTGTCAATTTGTAACCTTAAAATAGTTTGTCTGTGTGAATGGCATGTTTAAGACATAGTTACTGTGGTTTTGTTTGCTATTTAGATTGAGAGGCTTTCTGATATCAGATACATAATATAAGCTTGAATTGTATTACTCAAATGGTACTTTGTTTTTCTCATCGACGTGTAACGATCTCCTGTTGTACATAGGTCTAAGAAGATAATTTTGGGTGATTTTCTGTCATCATTTTTTTTTAGATTTGGTAGATATTCCATGCTACATTGAATAGGCTTTTAGTGAGTTAAGCCAGCGCGCTTTACGATCTGGGGTTAAAATTTCATCTGCTCAGTGCTGCTAGTAATCAATTTTTTCTAGTATTTCCTTTATGACCTATTTTAATTCAATTATATGGTTGTTTTATCGTAAATGCAAGTAGCTGTATATTTCGAATTCACTTTGTACACAAATTACTAATTAACAGACGTGGCTCGTATTACGGATATACGGACTCATCGCGGGATATCAAAAAAATTGTACGTTTATTTCAAAAACTGGTGATGGGAAGCAACATTATCATTGCGAGGGTATCAGCGCAGCTCTCACTGACCCACCTGTCTAGCGCGGTGATTATAGGTTCAAAGAAATATAATCGTTAGCTTGTGTATTCTTGGAAAGGCCTATGTGCAACAGTGGACTTAAAACTTACTGATATGATATGATTATTTAGTTACACTATGTGTATAGAATATTCCATTAGTTGTTTTTACGACATAACGAGAGGATGTGATAATGAATTTCGTTACATGACTACCGCACGGCGTAACTTTATTATGGGTTCGGAAATTTATAATAATCTAAATTGATATTCTGTATAACCTTTCACAAAAAAAAGAGATAATTACAATGATGTGGTGGTCTGGAAGGTTTCCTAAAGTGTTTGTGCATCTAACTTTGGATATTGTAGATATTTAAATGACTGTTTCAATTTTTGTTTTTAGATTCCGGACCCTGTTCACACATTTTAGTTAAGATTACAGTTAGGGCTGTGTGCTTGATAATCGTTACAGTACATCGCAATAGGTGATTTAATTTTAAGAATATATTCGATTTAAATATAATCATGGAAGAATGCACGGCGTCTGTTTATTTGTTTTTGATTCACGATTGCGTGCCATTTTTAATTTATCACATTGAAATTGTTGCTTCTGTTTACATGTGCTATTGAAATCATTTTTTAAATTATTTTACATTTTAGTCACAAAAATATTAAAATAATAATTATTTTACTTCCTAAGAAATATCTTAATGACAAATTTTCTAACATTCTCTATATTATTTTACAATAATTCACATTAATTTGTTACTTATATTTATTTATTTTAATTCATTGTGGCCTAATTTGTAAATTTATTGCTTTTAATTTGATACATTAAATTGGAGTCATAGACTCATTATTTTAAGTATTTAAGTTACAAAATGGAACGCCTAATTTACAATTAATTTCCACATAATTTATATTATTTATTTTAAAAAAAAACTCACTACTTCCGTTAAAAGTTACAAACATCTTCGAATAATGCTGGACTGAAAATTAACGAAGTTAGTAGGATTTGTTAAATAATTTAGATAATATTACCAAATTGATTGAAATC